AATCGAGTGTCTCGTCTAGACGTAATTGTCTAGCATCAAGAGTGCTTTTCACCTTTCTAAAATTCACTTATCATATTCACATTACCAAACCAACATATGAGTGAGTTTGATTGAAAAAAATGTCCGAACACCAAGCAATTCATAAAAGTCTTTAAAACGCGTGTCAATGCATGAATATCAAAGAAAAAGGTTTCATTTTTTGTGTATAAAACTTGTAATACTTTGACCTTTCATGCATCAACATGCAACGATGTCAAAAATTATGTACTGACATGCAAACTAATATTCTTCGTAACTTGCATCTAAATCAAGTATCACGCATTTGAGCATAGTTTCTTCCAACTTCGTCTTAAATTATACATAACCACATAATTGCTCTCTCATCTCGTTCAAACTTGCATATCAAATCTGCCTAATGTTTTTTGCCAACATATTATCTAACTCAAAAATTCATCTTTTCCAACACAAAGTCGCACATGTACATGTACTACTTTATGATATTCCTTTGTATTTTCGCGAACAGTTAGCAATAGGGAAAAGATATATTTGTTGAATCAGCTGATTTTTTGGTTTCTACAGCAGCTTGTGTAATACAGAACATACGTGACATAAATAAAATGCAAATATAAAACGAGCGACAAATATTTCTACAAAGAAAATACAACAAACATATTTATCGTGCTTCTCTTATCGACACACCGACACAGAATTAAAGAGCAAAAAAAAACACGAAAGTCATGCCATTCTTTTTAATTTTTTGATTAAAGATATAACACACATTGTGCTTGTCACTTTACTTCTTTTCGAATAATTCTAGATTATATTAAAGGTGTGCGAAAAACAACATATGTTGTTTGAATCATTGGCTAACGAATTATTACTTGAACTATTCAAATGTCTTACTACATCTCATATTTTTCATGCATTTCGTGGTCTCAATCGTCGTTTTGATGTTCTTATTCTCGAATATTTTTGAAAATGTAATACTGACTTTCGATCAATATCGAAATGCGATTTCGATATTATCAGTCAACAACATTTGACAGAAATAATCGATCGAATAATTTCATTATGTCTCTCAGACGAAGATGATACTCCTGGACAAATCGATCAATTCTTTAAACATGGTTTCACTTTTCAACAATTCATTAATTTACGATCACTTTACTTGTATGATATTTTATCCGAGACAATAATGAATAAAGTTATGTTCGATTTATCACATTTATCAAACCTTACTCATCTTACTTTTGGACAATGTTATTTTCCTTTGAGATCGGACTATGAAAAAGCTGTTTCTTTTGGAAATTGTATTTGGAGTTTACCTAAACTTGTTTACTGTTGTGTTAAAGTAGAATATAAATATCCGACAAACGCATCATTTTGCGGATAGATGCCGTCGTGATAATGGTATTTTTATTACTCCAACTGTGACTTCATCAACACTCGAATATTTATCCTTCATAGGTATGAAACAATGTGACATTATAATGGATCAATTATTTACACATACACCACGTCTTCGACGTATTATAGCCGATAATTGTTTAAATATACATATGAATTCATTGTCAATTTCTTCGTCGATGACGACTTTAAGTATTTCACTAATAAATGTTCAGTATCGTGATAGTTTCTTTAATTTTTTACAAAAGATGCCTAATCTACGTTATTTGAAAGTAGAATTCTATTCTGTTTATTTATATATTAATGGACAAAGATGGGAACAAATGATTCGTAATTGTTTAACAAATCTTGAGCGATTACAATTTAAAATGTTACTTTCCTTAAATAATGATCAAGAAGAAGAGGAACAAATTGATAGAATACTTGATACATTTCGTAGTCAATTTTGGTTAGTAGAACATCGTTGGTTTGTTCAATGTGATTGGAGTTTATACAAAGAATTTGCCAGTCTCTATATTTTACCATATGCCTTTGATACTTTTCGTTTTTATTCATCAATTCAATCAAAATCAACCTTATCATTTGATAATGATCAACGATTATATGATTGTGTACATGATTTGATATATAAACCTCGTTTATTCAACATATCATCTTCGTTTCATATTCAATTTTTTAACATTCAACATCTTTCAATCGAATTTCCAATCACTTCTCATTTTTGGTCTATTGTTCCAAGATTCGATCACTTAGTTTCACTTGATGCACTATCGAATAATTATGATGAACATTGTCAATATCAACTAATAAGAAGATTTACTTAATCAATCTCCTCGTCTATCTTCAATACGTCTTGGTTGGAAAACTTTGACAAGTTCTCTAATCCAACTTGTCGAAAGTCGAAATTGGTCAGTATACCAACTTGAATTATTATGTTATGGTCGATCTTTGGACAAAAAGCAATGTATTATGATAAGCAATATAATATCTAATATTCATTGTAAAGTATTGAATATCATGGTTATTAATCGAACATGTATACTTGATCTTATTAACACCGTGAATTATCTTCGTGCATTGAATATTCGATGTCAAAAAGACGAGTCTAATCGATCTATAGTGTTGACACAAGATGAACTTTGTGAATGGTTACAACAACAGCTCTCATCAACATTTTTCACTACGAAAATATCTCGACGGGACACTGTTGTTAGAATGTGGATTCGTTAATTATGAAGAAATATATCAAGTGAATAATGCTAATTTCATTGAGAATAAAGAAGAAATTATTATTACAACCAACTAGCGGATTGACTTCAGTTAAAATTTCTATGTTTGTTTTGATAGATTTTTCACTTTTAGTCTTTTGAAACGACGAAATCGTTGTCGATAATGTATTATGCAATGCACACAGTTTAATTAAGATACCTACAGTTGAGAAAATTTCCATAATGTTACTAATAATAATGTAAATCTATTGTTTCTTATGAAAAGTTTGTTTGTAGTATGTAAAATACAAATAATCAAAAACAAACATGACAATATGAAGCAAAAGAAGCATATCGGCGACTGAGCATCCGATGAGGAAAGATACTGTTATTATGTACATAATACTTCAAGAATATTTTAATACTATGGGAAATTAAGTTACTATAAGCATACATTGCTGACAATTACTTTTCTAAAATTCCGTTCATATTATCAATTCATAGAGAAAATAGATGGTAGGGCTTAGCTACTTGTTCGAAATGCGTTAGTTCAAAGAAACGGAATTGAGAACATTTAAATACATAATTTCAATTTGAGGCGCAGATTGACTAATGTATGCCTGTGCAGAATTATCTTCTTATATTAGTGGTAGTATCTACATTATTGGATTTTTAACAAAAATCCTATTCATCATTTTTAGTAGAAATATTAAAAGTAAAAGTTCCTTGTCTTTTTCAGTCACCAATATTAAACAAAACAATTGGACGATGATAAACAAGTTTATTTAAATTAATCAGAATCAAGAATAATGTGTGACTCCACACAGTGTAAATGAACCTTAACCAACACAAGAATAGATTAGTGTTCAAAACTACTATGAAATGTTTAGTCATTTATATTACAATTAATATTATTATTTTTTGCATTATATGTAACATTCGACTATGATTACATGAAGAAATAGGCAAGTGTTGATAGATAAAATATATCACCTACAGATAAGATTCATAGAAAAATAAATGCGTAATGGTGGCCAAGGTTAATTTCGAAGTGTGATCAAGATAAAATAGAGGTGCTAAAGAGACAGACAAACAACATGCATATATGAGAAAATCTATAAGCTTTTTTTTCTTCAAACAAGCCTATATACCGTATAATCTGCAAAATGAGAATTATAATAAGATGATAATATGGGTGTATTTATGTAAATCAAATGTACTTAATTTCGATGCTGAGAAGATTTTGTGACTAGGTGTAGAAATCATATATTCTTCTAAGTAACTTTGCACCTTATCATTTTTCTTTTCTGAATCAGCATGAGTATAGACACACGCCAGTGTGCGTCAGTTGAGTTTAGGAGATTTTATTTTTTTTTTTGTAATTTATGAAAAAAAAAAATCTTCACGAAATAAAAAAAATAGCGTATGTCCCAGTTAGAGTGTTTCGTCAGGTCTATCACAATCATTGAGGGATACGAAGTTCTTGTTCTATTACTTCAACATTTATTTACAGTCATATTTTAGAAAAGACGAATAATATATTTTTCTATTTGACAAACAATTAATATTGCGCATTCATAGCGTAATAGTCATATTCTATTTATAAAAATGCAAGTATCACTCTATTTTGATGACCTTCTAAATTTCGTTTTCTATTTTATTAGAATCTTTTTACTAGAATGAAAACATTTATCATCGTATTTATTTCTTTATTTGGTTTCTTTGTCCAAATTGATTCTATTATTTCAAAACCGAAATCAACAAATGTCATATTACAAGAACAGTTAACAGATTATGACGTTAAAAAGAAAATTATAATAACACCAGTAAGTTAATATTTCAATTTACATCCTCTTTTTACATCGTATATCTTCAGGATGCTCCAAAACCCATTGGTCCATACAATCAAGCTGTTCAAATTAATTATATGCTCTATTTAAGTGGTCAAATTGGAATAAATGCTACAACAGGTCAATTGGTATCCGATGATGTTCGAAATCAAACTGAACAAGTATTTCGCAATATACAAGCCGTTTTGACTGCAGCTGGATCTAGTTTAAATCAAATAGCACGATGTATTGTTCTATTAATTGATATGAATGATTTTCAAGCAGTGAATGAAATTTATGCATCATTCTTTTCCTCAAAGGAAGACTATCCAGCTCGTTCGACTTTTGCTGTCAAAACATTACCAGCTAATGCTAAAGTTGAAATTGAATGTACTGCGTATACAACGCATGAATAACTATTTATAAAAATATTTCGATTTAATTAAATAAATAGAGAAGAAACAAGTCAAAGATATTAGTTATAAGAAAAGAAATAATTGAATTTCAATCTTTTTAGATTCATGTATTCAACTGACTGGGTAACTCTGAATAGAAATCAAATTTGACAATTTTTAGAGTTATATTAATATGTTTTTGTACCGATCTAAATCAATAATGAACAAATTGAATCCCTAGATTTTTTCATTAGATGTATTCCTACAATTATTCTATACAATAATTACAGTAACACTTAACATGCTCGAAGGATTTTCCCTATTTTGGTACGGAAATTCTACTTAGGACGTGTGATTTCATCAAAGAAAACAGTTTCTACAATCTAATATATTGATCAACTTTGTGCAACGTACTTCTCAACTTTTGTTACAGATTTATGGAGAGTACTCAACGAAACTGCATTTCAAATTCTCATTTTTTATTCCTCATCAGAACTTTACGTATGCTTGCAATAAAAGATGAACTGCACAATATCCAAACTTTACTAATGTGATTTACCTTTTCTGAAATAAAAATGAGAAAAACTGAATTTTCATTCCAGTATATATCTAAGAAATAAACAGTATCTGACTAAATTTACAATTGCTACGTTTGTTTTGTATACCGCACTTGTTATGTGACAGAATAAATGCTCTACGATTCTGAAAGCTTACATACTTTTGTTTTATTTAAATTTTTTTATTTCATTGAAACACGTGAACATGTGTTTCAATGTTCGACTGATGAGTAAATATCGGCAAGTTCTAAGTGGCTTTTGAAATGAGGTAATATTTAAAAAAAAGCTCTATCTTCATTCATGCCATTCCTGTCCATGAAACGGTTTCTTCGAGGAAAAAAGCAGATTCGGATTTCGAGGACCAGTTATGGACATATATTTCCGTGACGTGTCAATATTTGTATTTTGTAAATGCTTCCGTTTCAAGTTATCAAAGCTTCTCGAAATATCTGTGTCATTTAAAAATACAATCAATCAGAAATGAATTATTGAAACACTCTGATATTCAAACTTCAAATGAATTCAAATGTCTTGTTTGAGTTTAAAGTTCGAATATTCATATTTCTTCAAAGGACCTTTCCATCTGGAGAAATTTTCTTAAAGTTTCCAAAGGCTCAATCACTCAAATCAAGTAAATGTTCTAATTATCGATTTTCGAAGACATCATTTTTTTCGCTTACAACAGCACCAAAACGCTTNTGTTTTCGGGACCATTTACCGTTTACACGGCAATAAATCCAGCTTTCGAGGTGTTTAAACGTCTACGAATATTCAACAGAAAAAAACTAAACGTTTTCACCGGAGGAATTCGAGAATTCTGGGTGTTTACACGTCCACTTTTTTTCTAACGCGTGTAAACGCTTCGAAAAGTCAATTTTACGGTGTGTACACGCGTTTTCTCAAAAGTTTGTCTGCCTGGGTAACGGTCTGTGGGGGGGGGGGGGGTCCAAATTTCTACCCTTAACACTTCAACACTCCTTTCAGATCGTGTTTCACAAAATGCAGTAATGTTTGATCCGTAATTAAATTTGTAGAAAATGTAAGTGACTCGTGTTGATATAAATTACAAGGGTGTTTCTATGAGCACAAATAATATATGGTTAATAATAAACCATTAGCTAATGATATTGTATCCTTTCTAGCACGTTTTATTCAGACCGACTGGATTCTACTAGATCAAACATTTGCTTTAAGTCGAATGAAATTTTTATTTACTCTCAGATGAAAATGTAATTGCGTTAAAATCTTCTTTTCTCTTTGGTATTCAATCGACGAAATACAAGCCTGTACATCAGTAGCTCTCTTGAAGTTCCTTTTTTTTAAATATTGACTCGATAAACCTCAAATTTTTATTGTGTATACGTTTAAGAGATCCTTAATTTCTCAAAACTTCTTCACTTTTCCTAAACATCAAAAATCAGTTGAATTATAGAAAAATTTTTATATGCATGTGAAATTCCTTTTGAATTTAATGATTGGTTCTATAAACAAAAAAAGAAAACGGATTCTTAGCATTTTGTATTAAACTCAAAGGAGAATATTCTTAAGTAATTAGTCTATTGAAAATTTCATTCGTATTAATTATAAATACTATTGAGAGAGACTCTTAATATTAAGAAACACTTTTGTAGTCGTGTAACAGAACAGCGCATTTTAGATGTACCCAACATGTTAGTACATAAATCACAAGTTAATTTTATTAAACAGTTACTAAAGTGAAAGTCAATTGTAAGCAAAAACGAAAAGCAATAAACGCTAAATAATTTTGAGACATAAAAAATGTGTATAGGTTTGAAACTTTGATAAATCAAAAATGTAGTTTGAAATCTCTAAGCGAGGGAAATGAGGTAACCCCCGTTCTGCAATAGAAGATTTTGAGGGTGGGTGTGGGTGTGGGTGTGGGGTGTGGATCTGTATCTGGGTGTGGCAGTGTTTCCACAGAAGACCCTCGTCACCCCACACCCACACCAACACCCAAGCACACCCACACCCACCCACGCGCCACACCCACAATCACACCCAATAGAATAAATTAAACCTGAATATTATGATTAAGGTTAAACTTCTACATAAAGGTTTCTTATCAGTATTCTTCTGCAATATCAACATCAGTTGCAATAGAATAAGTATAATAACTTTTTTTAATTTCCTGTGGTAAGCTTAAATGTAGTACATTTTTTCTATTTCGATTAGAGACAGTGAAAAACCTTTACATTCTATTCCAGAAAAAAAGACATCAAATCACGATTGAAAATAATCAGAGAGTTCACTTTCCTTCTACCATCATCATTATGCCAATAATAAATATAATTAAATTCAAGTTGATATTTTTTCTCATATAACTAATTTAAAATGTTAATAATATTCGTTCTAACACAACAATCAGTCAGAAAGACAATGCTAACGTATTAATACGACTAATCTAAGAGTTTCTCTATCCATCAATAAATTTCAATAGTACGTATAAAGAATGAAAAACTTGATAATAACATGTCTGTTGCAGAATCATTTTGATTACTATTAAAATCATTCACAATGAACGAATGCAGAGACATTCGATCTATTATGAGATGTAACGAAAGTATAGTTGACAAAAAAAAACAGTATCGTCGCGTATCGATTTTGCCTTTGTAATTAGTTCGAACTTTTCCATTCTTTAAGTGCGTCCTTGAGTCATTACTTTACGTGACGTGTCGTTCTTTTAGGGCCCATTGTAGTGCACACTATCGGAACGAGTGAAATTATGTGTAACCTATCATAGCAAAAGAGAAGTGCGCACACATATGCATACGTATATATGTTGTCATTTGTTTTTTTTATTCTATGTAATTGCTCAAAAATAAGGATAATATAAATTAACCTATTTATTTGTATTATTGCTATTCATATAATATATAAAAATTAAAATATATGTTGCGTCATAATTACGATCAAGAAAAAACAATAGTGAAAGAGAAATCTATACATCGTCATAAAACTCACTATGGGCATTTAAGTCAAAAATCAACATTGGTTATTGATCATTTAATAACAAAAGTTAAACAAAAACGATTAGCAAAACAAGATACATCGGATTTATCTGATTATGTATCACATGAAAATATTAATAGTAATAAACAATTAGAACAAAATCATCATAAATTTCAACATCAACGAATTATACATAATGATGATCATAGTCTGTTATCAATACTTAAGAAATAAAATTTGTCTACATATACTTTTTTGTAGTTGTTACTATTGAAAATAATGAACAAGATGCAGTTGTTCCTAATCACATACATAACAATGAAGATATAGAAGAGAATGTCCAACAGCAAAGAAATTCTGCCAAATTTAATAAGAATAAAAAACTGAAGAAATCAAACGATGGAAATAGCCCTGTTATTGACATAGCTAATCAATCCAATACAAAAAAACGGCGATCACCATTACGACATACGGTATTATTTTTACCTAAGAAAAATGAAATGTTGTATTTTACATAAACTATAAGCGGGAGAGGAAGGGTAGTTGCTTTCTCATTATCTATCAATTGAATAGATAATATTAAATGCTTAATATTATAGAATTCTTTTTTTTTTCATGTAGAGTTTTCAAATTCGTAATGAAGATTTTAATGTTATATTCAATGATTTACCATCCGATGAACAGTTAATTATAAGTAAGTGATATATGTTTCATTATCTTAATTAGTTATGATAATTTATAGCTTATCCATGTGCTTGGAAAAAAGATGTATTCATACATGGTCGAATTTTTCTTTCAATGAATTATTTATTATTTTATTCATGTTTTTTCAAATGGGAAGAACGTGTAAGTGATTACTTTTTTTTTCTCTCTCATATTAAACGATACTTTGTTTAATTTTAGTTACGTATTCCTTATAAAGATATTATCAGTGTCACAAGAGAAAAGTCTGTTATAGTTATTCCAAATGCAATTAAATTGCGAACGAAAAAACATGATGAATATACATTTGCCAGTTATATACCGAGAGAAAAAATTTTTACAACTATATTTCGATTATGGAAAAATTCTTTAAATGATCAAGTAATACTTTAACAAAAAAACACATGACTATGTTAATTCTTTTTTTGTTGGAATTTTTTAGCCATTAGATTATCAACAATTACGAGCATTGATTTCGGCTAATCAACATACTCATGATGAATCAAATGATGATAGTAATGAGTATAATATTTTAGAAAATAATGATGAAAATCCTCATAAGGTAAAATTTACTTGAATAAATAATTCATAGAAAACCAGCATTAAAATATTCTTCATAAATACTTTTTGCAAATTTTCATATATTCGATATTATTATAATAAAGATTCCATAATAGTTATATTATTCAAGGTAATATTCGATTATATTTTTTGTTTTTAATATGTAGTCTCCTCTAATATTTTGGCATACATAAATTGTGAGAGTAATAGTAACACAATGAAATACTGAAACATGTTCATCTATAGTTTCTACATCATGTGACTATTAATATTAAACAAAATCTAAGTAATCAAAATGATTCTAAATTGTTGCAAACAAGTTTATAAATTCTTTCAATAGAAAATAAGTAGAACAAAAATTATTCGACATGAGATAAGAACATTGACTTAAGTGAAAATTTCTTGCACTTGTTTCAGTAGCTCTACCACTAGTAATTTTTAGATACACTGATATATATATAAATTAGAAAACGTCAAAACAAAGAAAAGGCTACATATCAAAAATGAAAATATAGTAACAAGTAGATCTTTATGGAAATCTTATTATTGTAATAATAGTTTTAAAGAACAATTAAATTTGAGAAATACTCTGAACAGCAATCCATAGGAAAGTAAGATCAATATTTTCGTTCATCAAAAAAAGTAAAAATTCATTCTACATAATAGAGATGTCCATGGCAGCGGCAGATCTAGTCAAAAATCATCACAGTGCAGGATAGATTTTTACACTGCCCTAGTGGGAGCAACGCAGTAGCGTTTTTCTACAGTTCCTCGCGTCGCGATAACGGTAGATTTTCAGCCGGGATGAACATCTCTGCTACATAATATATATTGTATCATATTGCTAAAACCTTTAGCTGTCTTTTGAATCCTCAAAAACTTTTTCTTAATAAAATATATACGTTTATTAATTATGTATTTTATTCAAGATTATTTTATTGATTTCTTTTGTAGTCACATTCTACAAGATTGAATAGCTCAGCAGAATCATCTAAACTGGGTAAAATCTTTTAGATATTCGAAAAAAGAAAGAATTTAATTTTTTTATAATTCTATTTAGATGATGAAAATATGATTTATTTACAAACATGTACATGTGAAAGTCATCCAGTAAAAACATATGTAGATCAATTATTTAGTTTTAATGTTGATACACTTTTTGAATTATTTTTTGGTGATAATCCATTTATACGTGACTTTCATAATGCACACAAATTACTTGGTAAATT